TTAAGGGGGCCTTGGCCCCCCCCCCCCCCCCCCCCCCCACCTCGCCCCCTCGCCAACCTATCAAAGTACACGTGCTTCAGTTTTCAGTTTCGAGACAGGGCACGCGTGCCAACCCTGTGACCAAGGCACCTGTTGATCATTCGTCCGACCTGGTTGTGGTCAATGTAGAGCATGAACGTCGAGGCAGCGCACACGGAATTGGTGACATACTACAACTCATTGACGAGCAACCGGATGCTCATGTTCAAAATCTTTGGCGTGCTGCTGGTCTTCTTCATCCTATTCGTCGTTGTCTTAGCTTAATCAACCACCTTGTTTTCCTGTTTCACCTCCTCTTGGACCCTGCTTATTTTTGTCCCACGTTGCCTTTTTGTTCGGTGCACCGCTGGTCAAGAATCTGCGCACCACTTCCAATCGAGTTGCTCGTCCCTGAGTCCCCCCCTCCTTCTTTTCTTTCACCCTTAGCCTCTCCTTGTTGTGTGCTCCGTGTCTGCCGCTAATGGCAGCGAGTGCGTGTCAGTCATCCAACCCCTTGAATGATGATGCAGGTCCTGTCGTTTATCCAAAAAAAAATCCATCAGAGATGGCCCATCACGAGCAGTCCGTCAGAAAAAAAAAAGTCTTTTACTTTTTTTACTGAATTTCATGATCTGATCCTTTTCGCAGATTTTGCTTTTGAGAAGAGAGAGAGAGAGAGAGAGAGAGAGAGAGAGAGAGAGAGAGAGAGAGAGAGAGTGTGTGTGAGAGAGAGTGAGAGTGTGAGTGTGTGTGCGGCAGTCCGGTCGGTGGAACAGTGAAACGAGGTTGGCTGCTTGTACATGCCCTGGGGCAGGCGGCGTCATGGAGCCGGATGAGATGGACACGGAGGCAGAGCTGCTGGAGGGGCTTGTGCTCAGCTCCATGATTGGGCCGCTGGGGAAAGAGCAATTTTTACAGATGGATAACTTTATCTGGGCCAACGCCGACGATGCTGCTGCAGCTGGCCGCGCTCAGGGTCCTTGGTTTCAGCAGGGCTTTGAAATGACGACGGCAGCTCAGAGTGCAAGCCCCGTCTTCTTTGCCCAGCATGCCAATGGTAGGGACGCACTGCACATCCTTTTGAAGGAGCAAGCCTCGCCCTTTGCTCCCAATTGTATCCTGTCCAACCTTTGGGAATGCTCGCAAGACACTGGCTCTGACTGTGCCGACTGCTGCCATCCCCACCCGTCCTGTAGGCCCTTGTGCCGTCTTGGCCGCTGTGCAAGCACATGTTATAGAACACCTGCAGCATACTTTAGGCATCGATTTGTTTGCCGCTACTCCACAGGAGGCCGACGCCGCCTTTACCGAGGCCATTGTGCGCTGCCTTTGGAATGAAAGCGGGCGCGCCGAGCTTATTCTGGCCGATCCCGACGCGCAGGTGTGTCTGGCCCATGCGGTCAGCCCTAATCGAGCCGAGACCACTCCGGACCCTTAGACCTGGAAGAACGTCACACTGACTGATCTGTCCTCTCTGCTCCCAACCAACTGCGCAGGAACGGGGCATGTCCATGAGCCTGGACGGAGATGACGACATGCAGAGCCCTTCGCGCGAATGGTTTCGCACAGCCCAGCCACTGCACTACATGGTGCAGAGCCGCGAACTCGCTGTGCATCTCGTTCAATCACACTTGCCCCAATTTCGGGCTCCTGGTGGTCTGGCCCTTCTTCTGTACTCAGCCATCCTCACCACCGGCCTTGAGGACGTTCGTGCCCAAGCCGGTGGCGGTCTTAGCAGTCTGATTGACGAGGACGCCTGTGCCGATCAATGTCTGATGAATCTTCTCCTGACCCATGAAGCGCATTCCTCAGTCAGTGCTTATTCTCTCTCCTGAAGAGCAATGCGCTACCTCCGGCTCGATCCCTGTGTTTCATGCCCCGCCATTTCCCGCCAAACTCATGGCCAACTCAACTGCGACGTAGCTGGATGTCGATCAATGGCTGCAATATAGTTCCTTGCTTAAAGTGGGGTTTATCACCAATCAAGAGGCATACGAAATTGCCCCTCTGTTTCTCAACCCCCTTTCGCCCGTCTGGGTCATTCATGGTTTGTCTGGGGGATCAACGTATCCGTTTTATGGTGTGCTCTTGCCGGCACCTGTGAGCAGACCCGCGACTCATACGGCCCACGTGTATTAACTGAATGTTCAACACAGCGGGCGGACACTATTCCGTCGCATGGGCGGAACGCAAGGAGGTTCTCGAGGCAGACGAGGCCATGCCCGTGGAGACGCCCCAACCTGCATCACCCAGTCAGCTCTCCTTTGACGAGCAGATGAAGCGGGCCATCGCAGCAAGTTTGGATCAGCCAGAGCCCGCTTCCAACTCCAATAGTCTCGAGGACGAGGAGATGGCGCGAGCTCTGGCTGCCTCCAAGGCGCAGCATCAGGCCGAGGAGCAAGCCCGGGCCTGGCGCGCCTCGAACCAAGATCCCCAAGGGTATCGCTTTTGGCACTACAACGGCCTTGACACGCGAGGTGCATGATGTCGCCTTGTCCTGAAAATCAGTCGTTCTGGCCTGAAGATTAAGTCAAACTCAGGCGCCTGGCGCCTGAGTGGAGAGACAGGGCAAGAATTGTATTCCGAGCAAGACCCTGACGCACGTCTTGGGCGGGCAACCAACTGTTTTGTTTTTATTGTTTGCAGACCGAGGTATCGTGCGAGTCCGAGGACTTGGCCTGTTTCCTTTTGGTGGAGCTGCGGCCCCGGAACTATCCGAGGCGGAGCAGGAACGAGAGAATATCAATCGTGCCCGTCGCATCAAAGTGGGTTGCACTTCCCTTCGTGTGCTGTGGGACATGCTTGCTGTTGTAAGAGCTCAACAAACGCACATGCCGCCCGTTTGGTCCACGTAGACAATTTTGCAGACGCGCACCAACTCTGATGGCAAGCCAGAATACTTGGTCGTGTGCCATCCAGACGGTTCCATGGAGCATAACTTCCAGCTGCCCGCGGATGAGACGTGGCGTTGCCGTGACTGTCATTTAAAGGATCCTCCCAACTTTCGAGCCCGCAACCCGATCACCAGCGAAGTGTGCCGTGAATGTTGTCTGCCCTACAAAGAATGTGGTGTGTGCCACTGGCTGGCACGAAGCGAGCTGTCAGAGGCCGTGCGCCGAGAATGGGATCGAGGGACGGCACCTGCCATTCTCGAGGTCCTTCGTCGCCGTTGGCCGATGGTACGTCTTTGGGTAATTTCATTTTGGCCTGTTATGAATTGCGAGGGCTATGCCGTGCTGCTTCCCGCTTCATTCTGCGTGCGTGTGCATGTGGGCCCGGTATAGGCCTCGGCTGAGTTTGGAGAGCAAGTGCCGGCACTGTACGGATAAAGCGTTTCGAGGTGTTGGGAGTGAAATGTGACGCAAACACATCTCGCTGTTTTACCACGCACGAGCTGTATGCAGGGCTGGCCGGCAGACGTCGGCAAATTGAAGGATCGTAAGCAGCTTTGTCGCCGACATCGCGTACTTAGCAGGTCAATTATTGCTGTACCTCGACGCAAAGAAAAAAAAAACAGAAACGGCACCGGGGACACCGCCTGACATGATAATTAAGATAGAAAGGCCCGGCATTTTGGCTCTTAAGAAGATTGGCTATGCCTCAGAGGTTTCCGACGTACAGTCTGGACAGCGCTGCAAGCCAAGCTCATTGCACACGGTGCACTTGAGCTTGACAAGCTCTTGTCCGAAGCGTGATTTGACACTCTACCGCACACCCGGTGCCCGGTTTAAATCAAGCAGAAGCAAACCAACAGATGAGGAGAAAAGTTGATTGCCACGATAAGAGAAAAGAACAGGCACGAGCGCCAGTGACGAGGGAAGCAGACTCAAGAAGTTGTGAAGAAACACACAACGAATGTACTTACGCTCTTGCCACCTCCACACCAATCGCAAATGACAAGGCCTCGGCCTGCACACGTCTCGCAGGGCCGTTCACCCTGCGCATAACGCTGGAAAATTCAAAAGCACAGTTGGTCACACAAGACGAGGCGGCAGACCGCGGTTCAATAGGATTTTGAAGAAGCAAGGAATGCTTTCGCGCAACAGCCCAAACGTACTGGAACGCCATTCAGGAGCATGACGAGGTTGCCGTTCTCGTTCATTTTCTCAATCGCGTCTGCGTTCTGAGAACATTGGAGGCGGGTTTGAGCCATGCTGCGATGCGCTGCAGCCAAGGGAATGGAAGGAAAAAAAAAAAAAAAAAGGGAGAACGAAGGAAACCAGCCAGAGCGAGAGGCAGTGATGTACGTACGCCCACGTATTTGCCGTTGAGAAAAACCTGCGGAACGGTGGCATCTTTGGACCGCCGCTCACAAAGTTCACGGTGATACGCCTTTTGGAGCAGCACGTCCCGCTCTTCAAACTTGAATCGATGACCTTGCAAGATTCGCAAGACTTTCTGCAAGACCGACAAAACCGTCAAGGTGTGGAGCACACGTGCCAAGGCTGATGGGTGGCCATGACATTGAAGAGCCATTCCAGGCAGTCCCTGACCTGGCAGTCGGCATAGGTTTCGCGAACGGTGGAACCGCTTGTGGTGTATACCACAAGCTTGCCACCCAGGCGCTCACCCTGTTCCCGTTCTTTCTGTGGAAACAAAAGTGGAGACGAGTGCGTAACGTTAACAACATTGTGTGCGAGCAGTTGGCCATGTCACCCGCACACACTAACCTCGGCAAGTTCCTCGGCAAGCGAGGGCCCATTGACCAGGTTATGGGCTTTGCGGTGAAAGAGGCCCTTCCATTTGTTGACAACGCCTTTTTGCAGCATGACTGAGCCGCGGCGCGAGACAAAGGCGTCGTCGGTTTCTTGTAGCTTGCGAGCAGCATTGCGATTTGGTGGCGGGGTGGAGACGGTGCCTGCTTCTTCGATCCTTTGCGTGAAGCGAGCACGCAGATCAGCGATGGAACCTCGTTTGCCCACGACGGTACCACGACGTGAAACAATCATATCAGGGCTTTCGGCTGCTGCCACATTGGCGGGGGCGGCATTGGCGGCCGAGGCTGAGGGCGGGGCAGTGCGTGTCCGACGCAAAACAACATTTTGGGTCGCAGTCTCTGCCGTCGGAGTTGCGGCTGTTGCAGCTTTATTTTCGGAAGAATGCTCAGTTGAGGCGTGGTCGGCAGGAGGTTCGGGTCCAGGGACTGTGGGTGGGTCGACAGGCGTCGTCGGCGTCGTCGTCGGCGTCGTCTCTGTCTTGAGGGTCTCTGTTTGTGGCTCGGACTGCGGCTCTGGCTCGGCATGGGCTTTAGACGGCGACTCCAAAACGTGCTCAGACGCGGGGCGCGTGTTGTCGGTGGACATCCGCACGAGGTCTGCCGAGTGATCATCGTGGGGAGGCGACGTGGTGAGGGGGCCATTCGGTGGCTTTTCATTGTTAATGGTAGTGGTGGTGACTAGAAATGGCTTGTCATCGGGCTGCTCGTCCTCGGCAAGAGCTGCATCCGCAATGGCATCCAGATCGGCGACAACATCCTCGTCTGCGACTGCATCCTCGTCGGCGACTGCATCCTCGTCGGCGACTGCATCCTCTTCAGCCTCTTCAGCAACTGCATCATCTTCACCTTGGTTCGTGTCGGTGCTTGCATGAGCTTCAACATGGCTGCTACCGGCAGTAATGGTGGCATCACCATGCTTGACAGCGTCTGCAAGCGTGGGTGGCTCAGACGAAGCATCCGCAGCGACCGACGAAGCGGGGTCATGGCTGGCTTCAGCCGTGTTGGGATTGGCAGCGGATGACACGGCTTCAGGCGTGGTAGTGGGCGGGTCAGTTTGCACGACCGGTGTGCTACAAGTCGATTCTTGGACTTGAGGCGCGGGGGAATGGCTGTACGCGGGAATGGGCTCGTGTTGCGGTGGAGGTGTGGCTGGAAGAGGGGAGGCATAAAGTGCTTCAGTATGCGGGGTTACTGGACTGGGGGCACCAGGATCCATGAAACGGGGCGTGCTGGGCGACGGTGAGTTGGTCGTTTGCCTGTCAGCGCGGCCTGGGGCTCCGGGGGTGGGCTCGGCAGGATGCCCATTTGGCACCAGGTTAGAGCTGGGTTGGGCCGAGGCTGAATCTGGGGCCGGGGAAGTCAGGGCTGGATTTATTGGTTCGTGAGGATCGGCGACGGTGGCATAGATGGGGTCTTGGGAGAGATGCGATGGGCTAGGGTTGGGGGCGGGCATGGTCAGAGGTTGGGAGGCCACCTGGGAGGTCATTCGGGCTCGGGGTGGTGTGGGGGGTGCCGGTGACTCGTCGGGCTCTGGCTCAGGAATGGGAGCGGGTCTAGAGAGGGCGGACAGGTCTGGTGCCTGCGTTTGGGTAGCTGCAAGGGCATTAGGGTCGAAAAAGCCATACGCGCCAGATTCGCGAGGGGCTTTGGAACGACGAGGGGGGCGAGCTGGTGGGCGCCGGACTTCAGCGGCCCCAGGTTGTGACGCCATGCTGGGGGTAAATGCACAGACCGTGCTTCCCACAAAGGCCCGGCAGCTCGCACACAAAGTCGGCTTGCCAAAGGGGCGTGGCGATGCGGAAGGGTCGCAAGAAGCCTGGCTCTTCGTCGATTTGAAGGCCGGACAGTTACAGGGGATGGCTTGCTTGCAAGGGCGGAACAAAGAATGCAGCCAAGGAAGGCACTTGGAAAAAGAGGGGAGGGGGAGGGGTGAAGCTTCTGGAGTTGCTTTCCCAGCGCACGCAAGCTTTTACCAAGCCTGGTCAAGCAGCGGCGTGATGAGCGACGCGAGCTCGGCAGCAAGTCCGTCCTGCGAGTGGGCGTCAAAGAAGCAATCAGAAGGAAGCAAGGCAGGAATGTCGCAAAACGATGTCCAGAATGAAGCAACAACAGTGCATCAGCTGCAAAAGTCAGGCACACTCCCTGAGGAGATATGAAAGACAAGACCCGTGTCTCAGGCAGATGCATGGCAGGACGCGAGTGGAGGCCATCAGGCCGCGCAGTGCGCTGCCCTTTGCCACACACATCCGCCCGCGCGCAGAACGAGGTCGAACCTGTTGAAGGTGAAGCCAGTGACGATAAACAAATTTTTACGCTCTTTACGCTGCACTAGAGAAGGGGAAAAGTGCCAGCTGGCTTCGTGTGCCTTTTAAAGTTTCAAAGTGTATCCGGATTGATAAAACTTTAAAGTCCATGTTGTTAAAACTTTTATGACGTGTACGTGTAATGTTAAGCGCGAATAATTTTTACACACAACATTGTTAACATTGGATGTAAATCATTCATAAAACTTCTCATCATCATATTGTCAGCATTTTATTCCATGTCAAGGAGGAGGTTCGGAATGGCGGCGACACGGACTGAGGAGGGAGGCCATCGCGGTGCGACGCTCGTGGCGCTGGCAGTGGCTTGCTTGTTTTATGTGCCTTATTGGTGGGTCGTGACGTCTCCGGTGCGTCATGATCTGCCTGCTGCCGCCATTCAGCAGCTTCGGGTGACGGCGCCGACCCCGCTGTCGCTGCCGTGGTTCATGGGCAATGGGAGCGAGAACCAGACGCTGCCCCCAGAGCACTTTCAGCGACTGGCTCTGGCCTTGGCGCGCTGGAACGTCAAACTCCCCACCGAACCAAGCTCTCATTCTGATGACGCTTTGCTGCACCTGCATACCGCGGCGGGGGCTGAGGCTGCGAGTCCTGGTTTGGATTTCCAGCTGCGATTGGGCCAACTCGAGAGCCGCGGTGCGCTCTCGGCTCTCGAGGCGCGGGCGCGTAGCGGGACGGCACGGCCCTGTAGCGCCATCGTAGTCTCGCTTCGGCAAAAAGATTGTCCACTGGTCCTCCCACCCGTCAACTCGACGATTCTGCGGCAGCTGGAGGCGAGCTTGGCCCCGCTGCCCATAACGGTGCAAGAGTCGGTCTTTGTGGACGACGCCCAGGCCTGCTACGAGCCCGTGACAGTGCCCACCTCCAGCTGTCAGCAGCCTTTTGAATCCGAGGCAATTCGACTTGCAAGCCTTGGGGCTCTTCAGCACTTGTGGCGCTCATCCACGGTGGATCTCGGCCCGGCCGCCCTGGTCCTGGCCATGGCGCATGCGGCGCGCGCACGCAGCCGCCATTTACTGATTGCACTTCTTGAGGAGGTTGACTCCATCAGTAATCTGAATATACCCTTGGACCTTCAGCGACAGGTTGGATCGTGTGCTGCTGTCACTATTCTCTGACCATACGCCCCACCTCCATCTCGGCGCTCATGACGGGTATGATGCCTGCTGCTGTGTGGGTGTTTTTTGTTGTGTCGGAGCTAGGCAGAAATGGCCGTGGCTTACCTGACTCAAGCCAATCAGCCGTCCAATTCGTTGAATGAAAGACTCAAAGCCACCTTTCAAGCCCTGGCAGCGGCCGGTACGACGTACCTGTAGTGATCATGTGCTGTTTCTCCAGTGTTGTACCTTCAGCTCAAGCCACTTCCCCATTTTGCTTGTGTGCCCGGTTTGACTAGAGTTGGCATACAGCAACCCCGCCATGCACGATCTTCATCTCTTTCCAGAAGACCAGAAATATGCCATCTATGTACCTTTTTTTCTTCCGGCTTTGTTTGCGATCCTCTCTCTCCTCCGGAGAAAGCGGCCATCCGCTTGAGCTGGAGGACGGCATCCAATCCATGTACTTGTATTGAAGACGCTCTTTTTCTGACCCTCATGCCGCGCACGCAGCGAGTCTCACTAGCATCAGAATCCATCTCAGAGTGTTACGCCCAGGCTCGGCAGCCGCATTGGCGTGCGTGATGGATTGAGGCGCTTGCCCTCAAACATCCAGGCATGCGTCTGTGAGTATCATATCATGCGGCTCAAGCAATGGGTTTGTGGCGTCAAAGCTGGCTTCAATTTTTTTTTTTTTTTTTGTTTTTGGTTCTTGAAGCGCTCATGATCACAATGCAAGCATTACAGAGGGGTCATGTATTTTGCCCTCGCTGAAGAAAACATGCAGGTGCGCGTCTAGATTGGCGGGAGGGACATTGGCGGTATCAGCAGCAGACATGACGCGGTGACACACTAGAGCTCGGTGGACGGGGAGCTATGGGCCAACCTAACTACAAGTGGGAGGGTAAGCTGTTGCTACCAAACAATGTCCTCTGACATGAGGGGGCGGAAAATGTTTTCCAGAGAGGGAACGGTCTGCCTGGTGGCGGTGGGATCGGCGAGCTCAAAGTGCTCGTGAAGGAGGTGGTAGTTTCGGGCAAAGATTTGCTGCAGCGGCAGGTTGGCACAAGTATCAGGTGCCAGATGCGCTTCCGGGGAGCCATTAAGGTGAAGTGTGCTTGTGATGTGCAAGCGGTCCTGGTCAAACACTGGCCGATCGCTAGCGATGTTGATGAGAGCGCCTCGAGAGGTCAAGTGCGCCAGAAGCAGATCGTCGCCCATGGGTAAGAGGTAATTCGCAAACACTTGCAACAAGCTGGACATGGCCGTCCGGTCGAGAACGATGCTGTGGGTGCACAGATTGATGAGGTCTTGAACCAAGCCGCTGCCCAATGAGCGCTGTTTGTTGCAGTAAGACAAGCAGCGGCCCAGGTTGAGATAGTTCCAGCGCGGTGGTAGCGAATGCCATAGGTGAACAATCTGCTCCACAATGGAGAGGGGACTGGCTGCCTCAATGCGAACGTCATCTTCAAAGAACAAGAGGCGCTCGGTCTCCAGGCTGAGGGCGTGCATGAAGATGTTGCGCTTGGTGTGCACGAGGGCGAGCTTGCCTAGGCCGCTGGATTTCTTATCGAGCAGGCTCACATAACGCCGCTCAGCTGCGGAGAGGTTGAGGCGGAGCAAGTCGGCCTTTGTGCACACGTCAAAGAGGATGGCGTCAACGTTGAGCCAGTCAAGCATAGCCTCGGCGTGGGCTCGCCGCTCCGGCAGGGTGGCGACGACGATTCAGTCAACGTAGTGGTAGAGCCAGTTGTGAGGAGCACCGTGCGTCGTGTTGCCTCGGTTTCGACTCTCGTAAAGAGTCTCCCGCCAAAGGGTCACCCGAGCTGCTTGACTGACGGAGGAACTGCTAATGGAGGGGCCAGAACTAGCTTTGAACGAGCCGGCGCCAATCGATACTCGCTGTGCCAGGCCTTGTTCAAAGGCAAGGCACATCACGAGCGCCCCGACCAGGCCACTTGCAATCGTATGGCGCGCGACACGCATCGTGCCGGATGATTTAAATCACGTCGTCGTGCGTTCAGATGACACGGCGTTTTGGGACAATTGGAAAGTTGGATGCAATCTTCATCCCGGTGCACACTTGTGTGTGTGTGTAGTGTGTAAGTGTGTGTAGTGTGTAAGTGTGTGTCGTGTGCGTGTACGTGCCGTGTACCGCATGTACTAATGTAGCGTATTGTTTTTGCTGACGATGACGCAATGATGATGCAAAAGTACCGGAAGAAAAGGTCGAATTGGGCAATTGAAGCTGATGGTGAATCATCCCAGCGTCCTTCCACACGGCTCGGCTGCGCGTCAGCTTTTCAAGATGTTCGTCAGGGTTTCAAGCTGTCCGCCATCACACCTCGCCGCTTGACGAGGGGCGTTTGGAGAGGTGACGCACGACGAGAGATGTTGAGAGTCAGGCTTCAAGACGTTTGAAGACCAGTTTTAGATTGCGAGGAAGCGTGTAGGTTTGAGGAAGCGTTTTGCCGAACCTTGCCCGCCAATCTCCCGCCGAATGCAAGCGCCCGTTCCATCGTTCTCATTGTTCTTGGTCTTGGTCCCTTTTGCTCAGCGAAAAGCGGTTTTGGTATCGAGGGCACGGTGATGGTCTTCAAGACCCCTACAGTGGCGCCCTTCCAATACCTCGCCCAAGGGAAATCAGAGGATTCGTTCTTCATCACGGACGTTCGTCGGGCCACCGGCCCTTCCGGCGTGTGGGACAACCCCCCCAACCTCTACTTTCGCTTTTTCCACGGCATCAATACTTGGAATGGCGTGCACTACCAGATCAACAAGCTGCCCGGCGACAACGCGTGGTGCAGCAATCTTGAGACACGGACGTTTGGCTGCGAGTCTGAAATGGACAACGAACTGCATCACTTTGTTCGCGGAATCTGTGCCGACGTTGTTGCTGCCCTTGCGGCTGCCCCCAAGGAAAGCTAGCAGCCATCATCGCCGCGCGCTGCATCCAGACGTAGACCTCTGTGCTTGACAACAGGCATCCCATCTGAGCTGAGGGGCTGAGGATCGCGCTCAGGATCAGAAGAAAAAAAAATCAAAGCTCGTTTTTTTCATGGGAATTGAACGATTTCAACAAGGGTTTGTTTCGGCATGACGCACGTTTTATTTGATTTGGCATTTGACTGGAGACTGAGGGGGGCGGGCGGGGGAAATGAAGGAGACAAGAGTCGCAGACGCTGAAATGTCTGTGTGACACAACCATAGGTTCTGCGAGGTCGCTTCGGCAAGGCATCGGCATCAAGATTGTATTGCTGTTTTTTTGGTTTGGCGTGGCCTGCTTTTTGCGTGCGGTCGGGGAAAGCAACCGACATCGTCGACGGATGTCGTGCTGCTGTGATGATAGACGTCATTGCGCCTTGAACCTTAGCCTTCACACTAGTGACGTGAAAGATTTAGCCTTGAAAGAGAGAGAGATTTAGAGATTTAGAGAGAGATTTAGAGAGAGATTTAGAGAGAGAGATTTAGAGAGAGAGATGAGAGAAAAAAAGCAAAGAAATAAAGAAATAGCAGAACTACCACATGTAACAACAGGAAACAAAAGAATAAGCAAACGGGGGCATACCCTCGTGGATCTCAAGATTTTTGAGCAAGTCATCAGAAAAGAAAAATAAAAAAGAGAGAAGTTAAGGAAGCGAGAGGAGAACTTGACCGGAAGCGGGGGGTACACTCCCAGCTCTGGCTCTGGGGGGGAAGAGAGAAATCCCCGGGTGAGCATCTGGGTCTGAGGTAGGAACTTATATGCAGCGGCAAACCTCGATGTGGCCACCTATCCCCCATTCCAACCGCGTTACTTTTTGGCTCTCAACTGAATGTGTTCGCCCTCCCCTCCTGTGCGCGCTTGTTCTCTCTCTCTCTCTCTCTGCTCTTGCAGCTGACAGAAATGGAGGGGAGATCGCTACGGCAGGGTATTTGCAAGATCATGTTGCTGTTCTTGTTTGGCGTGGTCTTTACCTGGATGCTGATGGGAAAAGAAGACGAGCCGCCGGTGGTGGAGGAGGTGGTGGTGCCAACACCAGATGCCGGTGCGTGAGGTTCCGTGCGGTGGGGAAGCACCCAGCAAATGTCTGTTGAGTCAGAGTCTCACCTGCGCCTGTGTGTTTTCATGCTGTCGCAAGCAGCCGCTGCATATTGGAGGAAAGTCGGGGTTGAATTTGCTGAGGAAATTGGGGTCTCTTGGTTTGCATCTCGGATCCGCCGTGGCACATGCCCACCGGTGCGTCGTGCAAGATGCACGAAGGTCGCGGAGAAGTTTTCGGTGGTCATTCCAGCACACATTGATCAAGATTCAATGGCAAAAAGCACTTGGCCAAGCACGGCCTTGGAGCGGGTTGTGCAAAGTCTTGCAAACCAAGAGCGGTATTGCCCAGCCGAGGTCATCTTTGTCTTGTCTAATGTGTCGTCGCACAGGCTGGCGACCGAGCTTCGAAGCTGCTTGCGGGAGGCCTTTAAGGCGAGCAGGATACTTTCTGAGCTGCGGATTCTAGTGCGGCCCGGCATACACTTTGCTGGGGCCAATCGCAACGCAGGGGCAGACGCGGCGACTCGCCCGTTTATCGTGCTTTCTGACGGCGACGATATGTGGCACCCGCACAAGATGGAGCACCTGGTCAACACTGTGGATGAGGAGACATTGATCCTCACGCATACGTTTCTGTTGGTGCAGCGCAACTCGCCTTGGGTACCAGCCAACTGGAACCTTATCGAGCCGCCGACTGTCATTGACCACGCCAATACGGGATTGGGGTTAATTCGTCCAAATTGCTCGAGGCCTGCCTGCTATTATGCTTGTCACGGGCATGCGGTCGTGCGCCGCAGCATTTGGAATGCCACACGACCACGGGAAGACTTGCGCTTGGGCGAGGATGCAGAGTTTCTTGTCCGAGCTTATCGATATTGGGAAGCTCGCTTGCCGGCCGACACGAAGTTTTTCCGCCACATTAATGCGTCCTTGATTGCGTATTTTGCGGACTGGCAGTTTCGTCACGTCTATATCGCCTATCCCCTGTCCGCGTAGCCTTTTGCGATTGGTGCCGAGATGCGGTCTATTATACTCGTTTAGTGTTTTTGATTGGCATGTGCATTAACTCGGGGACTCTTACGCCTGGGTTGTGAAATTTCAGAACAACAAAGGCGGTCCGAGTGAACCCCCAATTGAACCTTAGTCTTGAACAACAAGAGAGACAAGAGTAATCAGATTCTGATATCAAGCAAGATCAAGATCTTATTATTTCATGTGAGAAGCGGGGAAACGAGGCAGATACAAAGGGGGGTGGGGGTGAGAAAAGATGGACCGGAAGGAAATCAAACGCAGCGTCGCCCCTTTCCCCCTCCAATTTCTCGCCTGAGACACTGTCTCCGTGTTCACACTGCACGAGTGCAAGGGAGGAAAGGGGGGGGTTGCAAGAGCGAGGAGAAATGGCAGGGGGATGAAATTAAGCCAGAGGCTCTTCGACATAAAAGGCTGGATGCTTCCAGTCGTAGTAGTAGACGAGGAGGGAGGCGTTGATGTGGCGGTAAAACTCGGTCCCCGAGGGTAGATGCGTTTCACAGTAATGGTAGAGGCGAAGAAGAAAGTCGACATCCTGACCCCGTGCCAAGTCTTCCCGGGCCGGCGTCCAATGCCAAGCATCCCGGCGCACCGTGGGATACCCGTGGTGCACAAAGGCGCAGCGCGGCTCGGCACAGGCAGGACGCAAGGCCACCTCGGTGTTGGCCCGAGTGATGTAGGCGGGTGGTGCATTGATGTCCCAGGTAAGGGGGGTCCACTGCAGGTTGCGGCGGGTGATGTAGAAGTTGTGCGTGAGCAGGATGGTGTCGGAGGTGACCGCGTTTACCAGGTAGAGCGTTCGGCGGGGGTGCCATGAATCATCGTCATCGGAAAGCATGACAAAGCGGCGAGTGGCGTGGTTGACGCCCAGGTTGCGATTGGCGCCGGCATAGTGAACTCCGGGGCGCGTGAGGACCGTGAGGGCCGAGGGGAGGCGACTGGCAGTCAAGGTGCGTGTGAGGCAATCGCGCACAGTATTGGCTTGTTCGTTCGTGTCAACGCCGGCCACCACAAAAATGACTTCGGCCGGGCAATACCGCTCCTGGGTGACCAGGCTGTGACCTAGGCGCTCTAGCGTGTGTCGCAGCCAGGTGGCGGTGGCGTCGGCAGACGCGATAAAAGAGGGGACCACCAAGCTGAAGTTCTTGGCCAGTTCGGTGCAGGCGGCCGGTGGCAAACGTGGACAGGCGTCCTTGCTGTGAGTCGCCCGGGGCGGTGCCCAGACCATGTGAAGTTCCTCCGATACGGCTCGACCGCGCACCGACCACCGCTCTGCTTCTGCACGCACGCACGCATGCACGCAATCGATACCAACACGGCGGCAAGGAACAAACGATCAGCGCGCAGACGTGGCAGACGGTCACCTAGCGAGCGGGGACCAGACCGTCTGTGCGGCACACGTACCCGGGTTACTCGAGGGCGCCGACGGCGCCGGTCCCGGGATCAAGTAGAACAAGAACAACAGACCCAACAGAAACACCCCGAGGGCAAGCTGTCGCGGTGCCACACTCATGGCACCAGGCCGAGGTCTCCCCGACCTCTCCATCCAGCGGGCTCGACCCAACCACATGTACCAAAGCTGTCCCTTCAATGGTGTCTTCTCTCGACCGCCCTACCACGGCTCGGCTGCACGTCAGGTCCCCAAGCTGTCCGTCATCACCACACACCTCGCCGCTTGACGCGTGGAAGCGGGGCCTGCGGAGAGAGAGATGTTTAGAGAGAGAGAGAGATGTTGAGAGAGAGAGAGAGAGTTGTTGAGAGAGAGAGAGAGTTGTTGAGAGAGAGGAGAGATGTTGAGATAGATACATGTACAAATTTTTGAAGAGCACGGTTCAATTTTAGAGGAGTTTAGATACGCAAATATGAGGAGAGAGAGATTAACCTTTTTTGCTAAGATCTCTCTCTCTCTCTCTCTCTCTCTCTCTTCTCTGTTTCTCACATGGTGTGTGTGATGCGGCGTTGGCGGCGTTGACGACGTTGTGTTAGGTGTCATTTTATGTGTCTGGCAGCGTGTTGTTTGAGGTGATAGGGAGACGGAGCGGGATGGGACGTGCTGTACGGGTGGGCTTGAGGGCGAGGCTGGTCTGGCTGGGTTTGGTGTCAGTCGCGATTTGGCACCGTCCGGCCATGGGCGAGATTCACGAGGTGCCGGATGCCCCCGTGAGCTTTTCAGACTGCCCTTCCGTGCGCTTCTCCATCAAATATGCGCCTGCCGCGCCAGGGGAGGAGGGCGCCATTCCAAAGCTTGAGATTGTGCCGGAACAAGCCTTGGCGGCCAACTACGAGGAAACCCCGACCCACCCCACCATGTTTGCGCTCATGATCACGGGCAAGGATCAGGCCCACGAATACTTTGCCCGGCACTCGATGCTCTCTTTTGCTCATCAATCAGCCGCTCGCAAGGTTCTCGTTGTCATCAACGACTCGCCCAACTACACCCTCACCGGGCCGCCCGCCGCTTGGCTGTCCGAGGCGAGCCCCGGCATCATGAGCGAGCCCCCGCATTGCGTCGTCGAGGTGCGCATTGAGCCTGGTCGATATACGCTGGGCGATTTGCGCAACATTGGCATCAACGCCGTGCCCCTGGGCGGTGTATGGGTGCAATGGGATGACGACGGTACGGATCGCCTGGTTGTTTGTTGCCTTTGTTCACGCCCCTTGACGCTCTCGGTCTCCGGCCTCTTTCGTTTCCTCCGTGGTTGCGCTCCACCTCACCCCCTCATCCCTCGCCGCTCCACCGCTCCACCCTTCTCTGCCTTTTGCCTCTAATCATTTTGCCCCCGTGGCCCCCTTTCATTAGACTGGCACGAGCGCCAATACATGCGGTTAAAGGCAGAGAAGATGGCAAGCGAGCACAAGCACGCCATGACCATCAAGTCTCAAATTCGTTACTTTTTTGCCAAGAACAGCAGCTACGTTTATGCCCGTGCGTGCCACACCGATCACCGAACCCTGCGTGCCAATTCCGTGCCGAATGCGAGCGCCCTTTCCTCCCCGCCTGCATGACTGCCATCGTTCTCATTGTCCTTGGTCTTGGTCCCTTTTGCTCAGCGAAAAGCGGTTTCGGTATTGAGGGCACGGTGATGGTCTTCAAGACCCCTACTGTGGCGCCCATCCAATACCGCGCCCAAGGGAAATCAGAGGATTCGTTCTTCATCATGGATATTCGTCGGGCCAAGGTCCCTTCCGGCGTGTGGGACAACCCCCCCAACCTCTACTTTCGCTTTTTTCACGGCATCAATACTTGGAATGGCGTGCACTACCAGATCAACAAGCTACCCGGCGACAACGCATGGTGCAGCGATCTAGAGACACAGACGTTTGGCTGCGAGTCTGAAATGGACAACGAGCTGCATCACTTTGTTCGCAGAACCTATGTCGACGTTGCTGCAGCCCTTGCGGCTGCCCCCAAGGAAGCCTAACAGCGATCATCGCCGCGCGCTGCGTCTAGGCGTAGACCTCTGTGCTTGACAACAGGCATCACATCCGAGCTGAGGGGCCGAGGATCGCGCCTGGGATCAGAAGAAAAAAAAAATTCAAAACCTCCTTTCTAAAAGCAGGAAGAAGTTTCCAAAAAAGAATCCATCCATCCATGTAACATCCAAATGTCAATTTTGTGTTTGTGCAACCACACGGATTTTTTTTTTTTTTTTTTTTTGACATGTGAACCTTCCCCGTGATGATAGTATTGATGTGCCAGGTTGCCATGAAGCTGCTTTGGGTTGTGTGCAGTCTGCTTGTGGTGATGGACCAGGCAATGGTTCACACTGCTTTGGCCAGCGATGGGGCCATCATAGAGGTCGATCTGGACGGGAACCTCATTATCAACAGCTCATCAAAGGGTGGTCATGCACGTCTTCTGCTGAATGGGATCGACGTGATCCAAGAGCTATCAGAGCTACGCACACAACTAGGTATTGAAATTGAATAGCGTTGGTCTTTCCCGCCGTCTGCGTCGGACTGATTTCAGCTTTGCATACGCAGGCGGTATAACTCCGAGCTTGCCCGCGGCCGGGTGCGAGCGTGTGGCCGTCACGACAGATGGCCTCTATTGGATTCAGCGAGAGGGCGAAGTGCTCCACCAGGAGTACTGCATCCAATCTGCTTCGCGCTTTTCTGCCGGTGGTGACGGCAGCGTTCACGCGCCCGCCGTGAGTTGTGGCATGTTGCAGCGTTTCTTCAAACGCACCCACACCGAGCGTGGGCTTTATTGGATCAACGCAGGCCTCAATCTTGACCCGAGTGCGTACTGCCCACCGGCCCTCCCTCTTTTGTTGACGGCAGTCAGTGCTGTTGTGGTACTCGTCCAAATGTCTCACGTGCATGGGTCACTCGATATGGTTGGCAGCTGATGCCACGAACACTAAAGTCCAGGAGTATTGCGTCTTTGATGGCCAATTCACTGGCTCGGGCTCGAGCTCCTCTTCGCCGGCCGTGTCCTGCAGTTCGATCCTGCAGTATTTTCCAGAGCGCGCGCCTCATATCAGTGGTGTCTACTGGATCGAAGCTGAAAACGCCCTGCCCGCCCTAGTCTATTGCGACATGGAGACGGAAGGTACATCACGCCGACTTGCTTTTGCATTTGGGATGAAGTGTGACATGTTCACGTGAGGTCTCGCGACACCGCTTGCTCATCAAAATCAGGCGGCGGCTGGACGCTGGTGGCCAAGGTCAAGGGCCAGGACGCAGTTATGAACGGCCTCAACACTGCCCAGTACGTAAATCAAGTCACGGTTTCCGCGTGGAAGGAGCGTTGCGATTGTCTGTTTGAGCTTGGTCATTCACCTAGCCAAATCTGTTTTTTTTTTTTTTTTTTTTTTTTTTTTAATGTTGCTTCGTTTCTACTTTCTCAGATGGCGCGATGGCGACGAGATCGGATCCACTGCTAGCTTGAGCGACGAAAATGCGCTTGGCCCTGCTTATAGCACCACGCCGTTCACCGACGGTGAGTCTGATACTTGCAAGGCACCAACCAGGACAATGCGCACCTCAGCGTCTCGTCCTTTCTATACGCTTCGACAGACTGGCCTTCCGAAACCGTTCTATTCATGCCCCGTGGTCTTTTTTAGTCATGGTGCGCTCGCTGACCGCTCCGGATCGCAACATGGGCTGGCGCCACCCCACCCAACATGCTAATTTGAGGAGTGTTGTTCGAGCCTGTAATTCCGTCGATGACGGCCAGCTACTGTTTGGTGCTGTGCATAATCTCGACTACCCAGGTCAGTTTCGCAACCGTGCCGGTCCTTGGATATGCAGCGGCTGCAATAAGGGTGACACTCGACTTGAGTTGGGTGCTCACTGTCCTGGTATGCCATGTTGCTGTTTTGATCAGGTGCCCCTTACGGCAACAACCACTACCGGGGCTGCACTCGACTCAAATATGGCATGTTGCTGGGCGATACCACCGCCTTGAATGTGAGTCTGGAGTTGAGCTGCGTCGTCTCCACTTCGATATTACGACCACCTGCGAACGCACTCATGCTGCATAACACGACGATTTCTCAACATGCCGTCTTACCTAGTATTCGGGCTACCTAGGTTGCCCCTCAATCGTCACCGGGCATTCGCTGGGGGTGGTTGGAGCTGCTATCCCGGCCTCCCTTGGTCCCACGGTGCAAGATACGGATACTCAACGTGATAACATTTTTGAGGTTTGCTCACATTCGCACCTCGCTTGGTGTCATTGCGATGCTATCCAGCAATTTCGCTCTGCATCTCATCTCTGGTCCACTTCCTGATGCAAACAGTGTGTCACCAATTTTGGCGTCGGTTCGGGTTACAGCCTTAGGCCCGGCTCAAGTGGAGATGATGTTTATGCTCTTAATGCTCACTGGTATATTTGTATCTGCTCGTTTTTGCGTGGTGAACTCGAGGCAAAATGACCATTCATCGCTTGAGCTGCCACAAAAAGCCTTACCCTGAAGTGTTTCCTCTGGTGTTTGTGCGGTTTAGGTGGAGTGCCGGCAACAATTACACAAATGCGTGGAATTCTCACGGTGTTTTTTTGCGTGACCACGCGCCCGTGAGTTGGGGTGGGGACGGCTCAAGCAAGATTCGGGCTGGCTTGTCGTGCCAGACTATCAAGGAGCGCTTTGGTTTTTCCGACTCGGGCCTGCGATGGATCTTTGCTGGTGAGTGCCTGTTCTTTTTCCATTATTTGGACCTAAATTTGCTCAGGGGTGGATTGCTGGTTTGTTCGGTTGTTTGTTTGTGAATCTTGGATCTTCTCATTCCCGGACGGCGCCTGAACAGATGAGACACCTGGACCCGGGCAAGCAATGCCAGTGTGGTGTGACATGTCTGCCGCCGGAGTCAGCTTGGGCTCAGACGGTACCACTGCCAAGCGCTGGTCACGCAGCTGCAGCCACATCAAGATGTTCTTTCCCCATGCCGCCCTCAAGAGTACCAGTGCTTGGGTGTGGGATACAAAGTACAACGAAGCTCGCGAAGTGTTTTGCGATCAAAAGTCGCTTGGTGGTGGTTGGGAGTTGACGGCCAAATCAGGCGCGCTCGACGGTACCCTCAACTCACGCAACTGGCGCAACCTCAAGTATGGCGTGTACCTGAATCAAATTTTCGATACCGCAGACGCAAACGGCTTAGGAACCGGCTACTACTCGGCGGAAGTGGAGGACGTGATGATTCGCTCTCTTGCCATGCCAACACGATTACTCGCCTATCACATGCCCAGCACTGAACCATCTACCCAGGTCATCGTGAACGAGTGCCGTTTCCGCGACAACGGGATCCTGCTTGCAGGCTCACCCACTGATTTGGAGTACTGGGGAAGCGGCGACGGTGATTTCATTACTAGCATGCGCATGTGTAGCGCAGTAGCTGAGCGGCGCTATGGCTTCTTGGTACCAGACACGACGGGAACAAGTTCGTATACCCGTTTTGGATGCAGCGGTGCCAATCGCAACCATGCCCTTGGTGTATTTGGATACGGCATAGCTGTTAACGGTACTCGGACCTATGGTTCGGATGATGGAATCCGCGTTCATTGTCTGACAAACTTTGGCATGTTTGGTCAGTGATACAGGCTGGCATTTGATGTTGTGTTCCCCTCTTTGTCGTATTGCGCGTTGGGTCATATCTTGCTCGTTGCAGAACCGCCTAGCTCGTGCTGTTTTGCGTGCGACGCTCTCTCGGTTTTACACAGCCATTGCTCAATCACTTTGTAACAAGCATTTATCTCAACAACTCCTTCGGCTCTTTGCTAGGCGGGTATGTAGACGTCTCTTCCGGTACTCATTTGTACGCCATCAACGCACACTGGTGGGGCGCTGGTAACGCCAAAGTGGCCAATTTCAAGGCCCACGGTGCTTGGGTTCGCCACTTGCCAGATCGTGTATCCATATCAGCTTTTTGGAACGCCGGCAACGGAAGCACCGCAGCGACGGCTGGTCTTTCGTGTGAGCAGCTGGCTTTTGAGTTTCAAGCAACCACCTCTGGCAAATATTGGCTACGTCGGACACTGGCAGCCACGCCGGTGCAGGTGAGAGAACATCAACTGCTGCGGCGCTAATTGCCATCATCGAAGAACTCATGGTTAGATATAACTGACACGATGTCCTTCACGATGGCCTCGGGCCCGACCTAGGTTTGGTGCGAGTTTACTCAAGGCAGCGTGACGGACATGGGTGGAGACGGATCCAGTGAGCTGGCTGCGGCTTCCGATTGCCGGAGTGCCCAGCAGCTGTTTGGACAGACCACCTCCGGCAGCTACTGGCTGTTCAACCGGGCCCAAGACTCACTGTTTTCTAGCAAGGTTTACTGCGACATGGTACGTTCCGGTTCAACTTGCGATGGCACTTGTTGAACCTTGGCATTAAGATAACGTTACACTGTGGCGCAGACGACTGAGTCAGGCGGTTGGACGCTGGTGGCCATTGTCAAGGGCAACGACGCCACGCTCAACAGCAAAAATTGGGATGCCTGGCGTCATGCCAGCCTGGTGGGGAGCACGGAAACCATGGCTGACATCAATGCGTTGGGCCCAGCTTATGTCGGTGTGCCTTTTTCGGATGTGATGATTCGGTCGGTCAACGACCCGAGCAAGAACCTTGGCTGGCGTCATCCAACGCAGTATGATTCGCTGCACAGCGTGATTTACAAATGTGAGGCCGTCACCGATGGTGCCAAGCTCTTTGGTGGCATTGCAAACCTGGATAGCACCTCGATTAACAACGGCTTATATGTGGAGTGTGCCAACACAAAATTTGGCATGTTTGTACCCGATGAGACCATCTCTTACACAGCCATCGCAGGTTGCGGGAACCTTTACTCAGGCTATGCTGGTGCCATCGTGGGCTGGGGTGTCTTACAGCCTCATTCAAGCACGAACTGTCTCACAAACGGTGGCCTCGGTGCTGGGTATGTTCAACGCCCTGCTCTGTTTACGTGACATAGTGAACTGATTCAAAACCATGTGCTGACCTGAATGTTGTGCTTTTGCTTCACTTATCTAGCTACGCTGGGGTTGTCTCGGGGGACGATATCTACGCCATCAATGCCCACAACTGGGGATTCAGTAACGATAACGTTTCGAACTGGAACTCGCACGCCATCTTCGTACGCCGACAATGAAGGCTTGTATTCTTTCGTGGGACTGTTCCAATCACCCCCCGTCTCTTTGTGAAATACTATTGAAAGACAACTTGAGCTGAAACAGTAAAGCGGTCGCAATTCTCTCACAGGAGAAAGCGATAGAAAACAGGATGGGAAACATCCAAAAGAAAAAAAATTTAATGTCACATATGGTCAGCGGGACCGTACAGATAATCCGGTAATTGAACACACACATTGTGTACGAGAAGGTTCCTCGACGGGAAGCGGCAGGCGCACAACGTCGAGTACAGTTCCCCGATGTGTCAGTTTTATAGCGAAATTTGCTCGTATGACCGTTTTGACGATTTTTAGACGTCACAACAACATGAACCCCTCCTGAAAAAAAAAAAAAAAAAAAAAAACAGGTTGAACATCCCATGTCAATCAATGCATTTTTCATTTTTCATGCTCGTCAGCGGGCTGTTCGACGTGTTTTGCTTTGTGTGTGGTGGTTGATCGCTCGTGCGTGGTACGTGACTCTCCTGGTCGAGGTCTGTGGCAACGCCAGAACGCTTTGGTTGAGAGCATCGCTGCCACTTTTTGGTTTTATTGTAAGGCTACTGATCTCGCCTCACAGACGTAAGCGTGCGCTTGGACGACAAAGTATATCTGCCTTCGCAACTGTCACCCGAGACCGTTGGCCAGGTGAGTCGTTTGGCGCAGAATAGGAAGAGGGAGGGGGCTTGAGCGTCCATGAAGCTGGTGGAAACCTCGTACTTCCTCAACTCGGCGAGGGCCGTAGTGCTGCTAGTGCTGCTTGATGCCATTGCGATGCAGCGCCCAAGCGGCATGTGGCATTAGATTCCTTCCAAGGCTCGTGAAAATCGAAAATAAGTGCTTTTTCTGATGTGAGGAGTGCAATCGATAAGTAATCGAAAACGATCAAAAACGATAAGTACTCTTGATAAGTTCGAACTTATCGATGCCTCTTTAGTAAATCCAGATAGATAAGTGCTTGGGTTGACCGATATTTGCCATCACTTACTAAACTTCAGTAAGTATCGAGTTACACTCGTTTTCGATTTTTAGTAATTACTAAAGCCGATAAGTTGTGCTTGAAAGGAATCTATTGATCCACAAAAAACATGCCTTTTTCTTAAAACAGAAGATTGAAACGTCATCGTCTATTTTGGGCGCACAGATCCCTTAGATCGTCATTTCCCACGGTCTCGAGTGGCATTTTTGAAGCGGAATTTCGAGTCGAGGACGAGGACGGGGTTTGGAGTGGTTTGTTCTGCACATGTTGTTCTCTTTGGTACAGCTTTCTTTTACTGCTAGGCGTTTGGCTTGTCGCCAGGTATCCTTCTTAGCAGTTTTGGTGCTTCGTCAGCTCGAAAGCAAGTTCATCTGGGCCACTTTAGCTGAGATTCTCCGATGGGGGGGGAAGCTGTTCATGATTTTTTTGAGTGGTTTTTCCGATTCACGTAGAACAGAGGCGCTACTAGATTTGAAGCACGTTTGATCTGCTACCAATTTCAACAACACTGGGTTTTGTGTGAGTCGATGCTTATTTTAGGGGACGAACAACTCACTTGTGCTCATGCAAACTGCATTCACGTGACATGCTGAAAAAGAATCGCAGTTCATTCAGCCAGTGCACTTGACTTGCTTTGGCGATTGCATCGAAGCAGTGGCCATGTCGCTGAAGCATGGCGCTAATATCGAGAACAAGGACGAGGCAAGTTTGCCCTTCTTTGTTGCTGCTAAAAGTATAATGTTATCATTTCATGTACGCCAGCATGTGCAACTGACCAGGCTGTTCATGCATGGTGTGTTGTGTCTTGCTGAATCCCTCAGAATGACAACACGCCATTGTACTACGCTTGCTTACATAATCAAGTGGATCTGGTAGAAATCCTGCTGAAGCAAGGCGCTGATATTGAAGCCAGGAATAAGGCAAGTCAGCATTTCTCTGTTTCTTTCCACAGGTCCGCAGGTCCGCAGGTGCGTTTTGAGTGCGCCAGCGTGTACAACCTAACTGAATGCTATCTTCCTTAGTATGGCTTCACGCCGTTGCACCAGGCTTGCATAAATAATCTCGTTGAGGTCGCAGAGACCTTGCTGAAGCATGGCGCTGATATCGACACCAGGGAGGAGGCAAGACACTATTTTTCTGCTTCTTTTTATTGAGTGGGATTTGAGTGTGCCAGTCTGTAGAACTGACAAAAATGCTAAATTCCTTAGTATGGCTACACGCCATTGCACGAGGCTTGCCTGAGGAATCACGTAGAGGTAGCAGAGACCCTGCTGAACCGTGGCGCTGATATTGATGCCAAGAATGAGGCTAGTTAGCAATTCTCTGTGTCCTGCTCTTGCGTTTGAGTGCGTGGGCCTGTACATCTGACCATGATGTACGCTTGTGATACATGTCTGGTGCATGCAAGCCACTCCACAGTTTGGTGATGACGCCGTTGTATGTGGCTGCCAATAGGAATCACGTTGAGGTGGCAGAGACCTTGCTGAAGCATGGCGCTAACATTGAAGCCAAGAACAACGTTAGTTGGCGCTTCACTGTGTTTTGCTCTGTTGGGTGTGTTTTGAGTACGCCAGACTGTGAAACTAACAAGGCTGTACATGCGTGGTGTGTTGTGTCTTGCTGAATCCCTCAGAATGACAACACGCCATTGTACTACGCTTGCTTACATAATCAAGTGGATCTGGTAGAAATCCTGCTGAAGCAAGGCGCTGATATTGAAGCCAGGAATAAGGCAAGTCAGCATTTCTCTGTTTCTTTCCACAGGTCCGCAGGTCCGCAGGTGCGTTTTGAGTGCGCCAGCGTGTACAACCTAACTGAATGCTATCTTCCTTAGTATGGCTTCACGCCGTTGCACCAGGCTTGCATAAATAATCTCGTTGAGGTCGCAGAGACCTTGCTGAAGCATGGCGCTGATATCGACACCAGGGAGGAGGCAAGACACTATTTTTCTGCTTCTTTTTATTGAGTGGGATTTGAGTGTGCCAGTCTGTAGAACTGACAAAAATGCTAAATTCCTTAGTATGGCTACACGCCATTGCACGAGGCTTGCCTGAGGAATCACGTAGAGGTAGCAGAGACCCTGCTGAACCGTGGCGCTGATATTGATGCCAAGAATGAGGCTAGTTAGCAATTCTCTGTGTCCTGCTCTTGCGTTTGAGTGCGTGGGCCTGTACATCTGACTATGATGTACGCTTGTGACACGTTGCTGATGCATGCAAGCCACCCCACAGTTTGGCATGACGCCGTTGCATGTGGCTGCCGATAAGAATCACGTGAAGGTGGCAGAGACCCTGCTGAAGCATGGCGCCGACATTGAAGCCAAAAGCAACGTTAGCTATATCTCGGTTTTTTTCATGTGTATTCTTTTTGCGCGACAGTCGTACAACTGACCAGGCTGTGCGCGTGTGCTTTCCGGCGACCACGACGGCATTTCGTCTTCAGCTTGGTTGCACGCCACTGTGCTGTGCTTATGTTTATAACCACGTGGGAATGCTGGAGGTGCTGATGAAGAAAGGGGCTGATATTGTCGCCAGAGACCAGGTCCGTCGGCCTTTATCTTTTTCAAACACACTTCGTGTTTGAAACAGCCAGCCTAGCCGACCATGGTGTACTTGGATGTCTCAAACTATGTTTCGTTATGCTGTTGGTTGCATTCAATCGGCCACAAAGTTTGGCTGTTCACTATTGCACAAGGCATGCTCTGATGGTCGTACCGAGGTGGTGGAGATGCTCTTAACGCATGACGCTGGCTTGAAGGCTCATAGCAAGGTAAGTTTTACCTGAATACTCTTTTTTTTCGTACGTACGCATGTGCCCTTGAGCTGTACCCTTTTCCTTCAAGCAGACCCTTTTGGGCATTGCGTGTGGATATGCTTGAGAACGAGGCTCACAGAAGTGGATATTTCGATTTGGGCGACTTGACAGGAAATGGTGGCTGCACTTCATGTTGCTTCACAGTCTGAGCACCTGGCTATTGTGGACATGCTTCTGAATCATGGTGTAGATGCGGATGCACTGAACGAGGTTAGCCCGCAACAACTTGGATACGAGTTGAAAACCACAGCCTTCTTTTGCTCATTTGTCGCAAGCTGCTTCCAGTGGCACCAAACGTGCTTGATCAGCCTACTTTCTGACCCGCGCTTTAAAAGCGTTTGTGATGGATCATGTTGCTTTTCGCTCATCTTCTTTAAGTCAATTAGTCTCACTTACAGCCATGCTATTTGACATCTTAGACAAATCAAAGCCCACTCAGCTATCAACTCAGTCGCCCGCAGACTAATCAGCAGGTTAGAGATACAACAACTAGGCCTCATTCCCAATGGCCTGTCTCACTTATTGAATGCTTCTGTTTTCAACCTTATTTAGTTGATCATCAGATTGCTTTGTGCCAGTCGCAAGCCCGGCACGTACCACAGCTCCAATCCAGAAGGTGGGATAGCACTTGTCCGCGCTCGTGCTATGTGTTTTCCTCACGACGGTATCGATTGACGATAGCCCAAGCCGTTCTTTTGGCCGAGAAAAACAGGCGTTGCAAGGCATCACTGGGTATCCTCTTTAGTGCTGGATGGCGCATGGAGCCAAATGCCTTTGAGGACTGTGCGTTTCACGATTTGCATTCTATCCTCACGCGATGCTTTCGAGCCTAATCCTGTGATGACACAAGTTTTGTTCAAGGAACGCCCCAGCGCAACAATTGATGTCTGATGCATGACGAAGCAGCGACGATATTTGCGTTCAAACAGTCAAGTGTGCTGAAACTCAGGAACAACAATCTGCTGCTCTGGTGCATTGCTCTTGTTGTGAAATCGACGCAACTTTTCTGCTTGCGGCTTGATGTACGCAAAGGGTCGGGTAGTCCTTGCCATGTGGAGATGGAAGAAAAGATGGCCATAAAGATGGGGGTGAATTCTACCAAGGAAGCCACGGTCAAGGTTGTAACAATTTGCATCGTCCGGCTTTTTATTTGCTTTTACCGACGAGTACCTCACGCTTGAGAACTATTGCGGAAAGAATAACATTGATCCTGCTCATAAAACCGCCTCTCAAGTAACATCTGTGGACGAGGTGCAGTGACTCGCCCCGGCGCCTGTCGGGGCGCTCTTCCAGGCCAACGTTCAAAGCCAGACAACAACGCCCCATTGTACTCGGCCATCTAAAAGTTGGACGGGGTAGGCTTTGATCGTACTCCTCCTACCGCTTCCAATCTGGCCGTCAGGGAAATGGGGGAGGGGGGGGGGGGATTCGTTGCCCTCGTCAAGGTTATCAACGGCGCCGGCCTGACAAAGCTGGCAGGCGTGGAGGTTGATATTCAAAAAAGCAAAACCTCAAAGGGACAGACCGGCGTGCAGCAAGTGGTCCAAAAGCACGTGGTCATCCAATCGTCTCGGGTCAAAAACTCCAGCATCCAGGGGTAGGTGCCCGTGGGCCCTCTAATATATCTTGAGGTTGAGACTGACTTGATGCCAACGATGACATTGACGACGTCATCGCCGAGCTGTATGTAGGCGTAATTGAGGAAGCCTTGTCCAAGCCAGTCATGGTGTCGCAAGCTATGGATCGTCGGCTGCGCGAGAGGCGCTAGCTCAGCCTTAAGAGCGCCGCCGAGAAGCCGGCGGGCGACGATCGGCCCTCAATTCCTCAATCTATTTCGACGCATTTGACTGTGATACTGGCATTATGACATCACAAGAGATCGATCCAGCGTTGACTGAGACAGCATGTATAGACAGCGCCTTGATATCGGAGTCGGGACAGCTGCTACTTTGAGCAGCAAAGAAATCACGTCATTGTGCTCATCACGCTCGCCGGCCAGTTGGGCATTTGAGAAAAGGTTTTGGTGCAAGCGCGAGGCACGCTCGCAATGATAGGTGTCTTGTGCTTTTTTTGCCCTTTTAGTGCTCGCGCTTGCTCCGCTTCTCCTTGCGCGAGCCGGAGCGAGTTTGATGCGGCTCGAGATCCTCGTGACGGGGCTGATGGTGCTGACTGTTTTGGCTGCCCTTGCGGTGGCTCTGGCTGCCGAGTCTTGAGGACGCTTCCAGCGAAGAATACAAGGTAGTGTAAAAGCGAGCACTAGGTCCACGAGGAGAGCAGGCAATGTTTGTGAGACTCCCCCGAGCTCGGCGTGCTTACCCAGTACTGATTGGCATGGACGATCTGTTAGGCCCTGAACGTGAGTTGAATGGGAATAGGTTTGATATAGCCGGAGGGGTTGGATTGGGGTGGCCAAAGGGCTTGGGATGCTTTTCAGCGTTCATGGCAGGCAAAAAGGCAGTCCAAGTGTACACACAAGTTCCAGTTTGCCGGCGCTTTGCAATCTGCTCGCATGACCGAAAAAAAAGTTTGAAGGTGTTGTGAAATGTGTTTGTTCTTTTGCATTTTCCCTCTTCGTCGGCTTATGCCGTTTACCATTTTGCTTTGAACCTCTTGTTCCTTTTTTCCCTCTTTGGCATCGGTCTCGATGTCGGCATCGGCGGGTTGCTCGACGTGTCTTGCTTGTGTGCGTGGTGACTGATCGCTTGCGCTTGTTACGGGACTCTCCTGGTCGGGGTCTTGTGGCAACGCCAGAGCGTTTTTGGTTGAAAGCATCGCTGCCACTTTTTTTTTTTTAAGTGCCACTGATCTCGCTGCACAGTCGACAACGTGCGCTTGGGCAACCAAGTACACCTGGACTCGCGGCTGTCACCGAGAACTGTTTGCCAAAGGTGAGTTGTTTGTTGCATCAGGCAGGGAAGAGCAAGACCCGCTGACCGACTGCCGTTTTGGAAACTGCGCGAGCCTAGTCCGAATTTTGGGTTGTCAGACGAGTTGTACTTGGAGGGGGCTCATGAGATTGGCGGTGGCTAGAGAAGCAAAAAAGCGGTTGAAGCGGATGGTGAATAGAGAGATACCGTTACCATGGGTGCTGATGGGGAGCAGCTGTTCAATGCATGTCGTTCATCAGATCCACAAGAGGCGCTGCAGCTGTTGACCAGTTGGGACCAACAACGTATTCGACGTGCTGCCCAATACAAAAGTGCTGGCTTTTTTTCTTCTTTCCCGCCATCCCTCTTCTTCCCCCGTTTTGCGTCCGCGCTTTGTCGGTGCTCCATGCCCCCCGCCCTTTTTCTTGCTGGTCGCTTCCGCCCACCGTCCTCGCTCTCCTTTTTCTTGATGTTGTGACTTGAAACCGAGCACTACCCCATCTCTTGCCATCGCGCCTCTGCCTCCCTCGCGCGTTCAAACGGCTTTCCGTGGGCGTTTCTTTAGCTTTACCCCGGCACATTCGACGCTCACTCCCACCCACCCACGCCCGCTTCCAAAAAAAAAACGAAAACATGCCTCATGTTTCCAAAAATTGATCATAATTAGCGCGGCCAAACGCCACTCCATCTAGCCTGCGCTCCCTTCTCTGCCAGAGAGAGCATCCACAAACTCTTGCGGCACGGTGCCGATCCGGATGTGAGAGATCGTGTAAGCTGTTCACCGCGATGCCGTACTTCTCGCTGTTCTGCTGCACCTGCGACTGATGCCTGATGATCTGCTGTGGTAGCTGGGTGCACGACCCTTGAATCTGCTGCTTTGCAAGGCTCGCATCGAGCTGGAGGTGGGCCTTTCTTTTTTTATTTGTGGTCCTGGTTGCAGAGGCAAGCTGGCTTACCGATGAATCTGTGTCACGTTACAGCTGGTTGCAGAGCTATTGCGCGCAAGCCGTGCCCCTTGCTCCTACCAAACTTCAAATCCCAATGGTGCGAACCTGATTCCCATGTCATTGTTCGCATTGACTTGTTCTCATCAGACTTTTCAACATGGCGCCAGTTCAAGGCTTGCTTCATGCGGAGCAGGTCAGACGGTGGCGGTGTGCTGCTGCTGTTCTCTGTAGCGTCGGCTGGCGCGTGGATCCTCAATTGTTCAATATCCGAGATCTACAAACCCTTGGTGACCGCGTGGCTGCTCTAACGGCCGCCAATCAAGCTGCACCTACGAATTAAAATGGCTGACGCTTGTGGTTGGCCTAATTTTATTTCCTCAAAAAGAGTGGTTTATGTGTAATTCCTGCATCAGAGCGAGCCTTCGAGGCAATGCTCGCGTCGCCTGCAGACGCGCTGGGAGACTAACATGCATGAAGATCGCCATACAGTGCCTGTGTGCGGCTGGATCAAGAGGCGCTTTGAAGAGAAGTGATCAACGCGAGGGAAGGCATCGACAACCAATGCCTCGACAGTCGTCAAGGTATCAAGGCATAGCTGGAAGCAGCGATGAAACTCAAGGTTGCCAAAATTATTCTGCGAGACCGACGGGCGTCGATACACTGCTCCAATGATTGCCTGAACGGCTCATACTGATGGTGATGCCACGACATTCCGGCTCACTTGAGGAGAAACAAAGAGGAAGCGCAAATATGAGAACCACGAGAAGGAGGGCAAGAAGCACCAACAATGTAAACACGCCTCGCACTCGTCCGACCAACCGACTGACCAACTTCTCAACTGGCTAACGAGCGTGAAGCGCACGATCACGTGGCTGCTGCTCCTCAACTCCGGATTCAAAGTGAAATCTTCCCGTACCGGCTCGTTCGATGCTGTATTACGATATTACGACTTTGGGATGCGTCATGTAGCCCGTGGCTTGAAGCATGTGTCACAGCTTAATGTGTCGAACCGATATAGGGGGACTTCAGCAGCCATGAACATTAAATTTTGATTCAAATACTTTTTTTTTCTGGCAGAGGCATTGAATGGTGTGGGCGCTCTGTCAGGATCTGGGCTGCACTTGCTCTGCGAGAATCTGACCTGGCCGCTCGTTTCAGTTGTCAGGAATCTAGGCTCGCCATCAGAAATGGTCGCCGGCATCCAGGCGGGGTGATATGACTGGAGGGATTGTCTCGGATAGCCGGCGGGCTTGTAATGCCCTGGCTGCCAACGAGGCGGTGCTTGTGCACGTACAAGCCCCAGTTTGCGGTGTTCTGGAAGCTGCTCATAACGGGCAAGCAGCATCCTTACAGTCTACAGCGTGCTTGGAAGCAGTCAGACGCTGGCAAAGGGGCAGTACATGTTGTACGTTCAAGTTTGACGGCGTTTTGAAATCTGCTTGTATGACTGTTGTTTTGACTTTCTGAACAGAACACCAAAAAGAAGAGAGAGAAATATTCTTGTCAGAGGAAGGGGGGGGCCGCAGAGGCATGCAAGGGTGGGCGGGAGCTTGAAGAGGTATGGGTGGGCGGGACGTCACACCTGAGAAGGGGTGGGATCGCGGGCCAAGGCCGCGTGGTAGGTAGTCAATGGGGTGATAATCTGGTATGTTTGTTCAAGATCGTCAGTCGTCCAGAAGCCCGACTGGCATATCACCTGGCTGCCGCTGCCCTTGTTGCCGCCGTTGGCCGTTTGGGGTTGGGTTTGATCATTGAGGTGTGGTGCTATTGATATTTATGTGTGGTTCATTATCTTCAATTTCTCCCTTGTGTGACGTAGTTCAAGTGTGGTGCGAACGTCCTTTTTGTGTGACTGGTACCTTGGAACGGCTTTTTGGTTTTGTTCTTGGGTGCTCCTTTTCTGCTTGCAATGACTTTTTCTCTATCTAGGTGTGGATGTTGTTTTGCATTTTTCTTCTTGCTTCTTGCTGTTGCCTTTTTCCTTTTGGTGGTGGTGCCCTTTTTTGGCAGCAGTCTTGGTATCGTCATCGGCGTCGGAGGGCTGCTTGATGGGTCTTGCTTTGTGTGTGCGTGGTGGCTGATTGCTTCTGTTTGTCACGGGACTCTTCTGGTCGGGGCCTTGCGGCGACGCCAGATCGTTTTGATTGAAAGCACTGCTGCCATTTTTTTTGCTTTCAATGGTGAGGCCACTGATCTCGCCTCACAGTCGACAACGTGCGCTGGGCAACCAAGTACCCTGTCCTCGCAACTGTCATCGAGAACTGTTGGCCAAAGTTGGGTCGTTTGGTGCACCAGGCAGAGAAGAGCAAAAAGCCCGCTGACCGGCTGCCGTTTTGGAAACGGCGCGCGCCTGTCGAATCCCAGAATTTGGGATTGTCAGACGAGTTGTACTTGGAGGGGGCTCATGAGTGGTGGATAGAGAAGCAAGCAAAGCGGTTTGAAGCGGGATTGTGAAGCGGAGACAGATACCGTTACCATGAGTGATGACGGAAGGCAGCTGTACTATGCGTGCGATTCATCAGATCCACAAGAGGCGCTGCAGCTGTTGACCAGTTGGGACCAACAACGTATACGAAATGCTGCCCAATACAAAGATACGGTACGTATGCTGTTTGGTATGATGTTGTGTGATATTGGTAGAATATGTCACTGGATGGGGTGACGTTATGGTATAACATGGGACATCTCCTGCATGTTTGTATCGTCCCACAGTATGGTGGCGAAACACCACTGCACGGGGCCTGCCAATACGGTCTTGACAAGGTGGTGGAGATGCTGTTGAAGCACGGTGCTGATGCTGAAGCCAAGAACAACGTCAGTACAGTGCCTCCCTCTTCTCCGCTTTACCCCCCTATGATGGTGCACCTGGACCACATGATGATGATGATGCTGTACCTGAACGTCATGTTGATGCATCATCCCACAGGATGGCGATACACCACTGCACTGGGCCAGCGGTAGGGGTCATGCCAAGGTGGTGGAGATGCTGTTGAAGCACGGTGTTGATACTAAAGCCAAGGCCAGGGTTAGTACAGTACCTCCCTCTTCCCCCCTTTACCCCCCTATGATGGTACACCTGTACCCCATGATGATGATGATGATGATGATGATATTGATGATGATGATGATGATGATGCTGGAGCTGTACGTCATGCTGATGCATCATCCCACAGCATGGCTGGACAACACTGCACAGGGCCTGCTATAACGGTCATGTCAAGATGGTGGAGATGCTGTTGAAGCACGGTGTTGATGCTAAAGCCAAGACCAACGTCAGTACAGTACCTCTCTCTTCCCCCTTTTACCCCCCTATGACTGCTGCTCCTGCTCCCGCTGCCCGTCGCCTTTGCCCCCGTCCCTCCTCTCCGCTACACCCTACCCACCCGTGCGCGTCCTTTCTCCCCCCCTGGCTTCTTTTCTTCTTTCCCACTATCCCTCTTCTTCCCCGCTTTGCGTCTGCCCGTTGTCGATGCTCCCTGCGCCCCGCTGGTCTCTTCCGCCTGCCGTCCTCTCCTTTTCTGATCCATCCGGGCACACCACTCCACCCTTTGCCATCACGCCTCTGCCTCTCTCGCACGCCCAAGCGGCTTTCGGTGGCCGTGCCTTCACTTTTGCACCCGGCACATGCGCCGTTTCTTTTATATTTTTTTCTCTCTCCAAGCGCGCCTCCTTTCGGACCCCTGCTACCTGCCCGCTCTATTTGCACACCACTCGCGCGCCTGGCGTCTTAAGCACACTTTAAAGCATTGTCACCTTGCTTTTGTTCTGAGAAAGCAAATGTACGTCGCCCAACTCAGCCCTCGCGTCGCTGCCCACCTCACACGCTCAAATCACATGTTCTCAGGGTGGTCAAACGCCCCTCGATGTCGGACGTCAATGCGGGCATGGCGACAAGCTGGAGCCCGTGTTTGCTGCTCACGAGGCTCGCCTATCACAACTACCCGCATCCCTCGCTCCG